AAGATTACACTAAAGCTACCAGCACAATCATGTTCATTACAGCGTTGTTTACCAAAGCCAATGGTGTGGACGAACTGATCAAAAAAATGTGGTATATATACATACAAGGAATTATCTGCTTCCACCAGAAAGAATGATATCATACCATTCATAAGGAAATGGAACGACTTGGAAAAAAATCTGATTAAGTGAAGTCAGACCCAAAGACCTGTACATGTAAAAGTGTGAAAAAAAAAATCTCCGCAAGTCATTTAATGTTGCTATCTATGCCTCTTTGTTAAATTTTTTGTGCTCATTAGTGTTTTAAGGCCCCTCTCTTGTACAGCATGTTACTTTTCTTATATATATATATAGACAATGTCAGAGAGAAAGATTATGTAGGGAGACAGTAGAAAGCATCATTCTCTTCGATGCCAAAGAAACATAGTTTCCATGGTTTCCCTCATTGTTGTAACTAGAAAGTGCCTATAAATGTACAATTAAACACACTGGATGGTAAAAGAGAAGAAATACACATGGACATAATAAATTATACAGAACGCTAGACATTCAAGGCCCAAAAGCTATATGCAGATGATCATATAAAATTATGCTTATCAAAATGAACTCCAAGAAATGGTAACAAGAGCTTTTGTGTTATTTTTTTTTCCTCCTTTGTTGCTGTTTTTGTTTTCTATACCTTTCTGTTTTGGGGAGGGTAAGGGGGAGTACAGAAATGGTGGGACAAAGGGTAAACAAATGCAGGAGTCATACCGACTAGACATATTGAAAATAAACTATAGAAATTGTGAGGGGACAGGAAGGAAAAACTTGGGAGAAAGCTAGGGAAGGGGTGACTGTTCAAAACCAAATGTACTTACCTAACTGTAACCCCTCTGTAAATCACCTTTACAAGAATAATTTCTAAAAAAATTAAAAGTTAAAAAAATAGGTGCTACCAATAGTCTATATCTTAAGTGTGAAATGGTGGTTACAGGGCCATAAAGCTATCAAACCTCATACTGTACAGAAAGTATATAAAAGTTATTATATATAAATTATAATAAAAAGTAATAAACTGACTCCTAAAACTACCACTCTATTTTAAGGTTGTTCAAAAAAGTTTAGCTTTTTGAACTTCATTATAACAAGAACAATGTCATTTATATCACTGTATTTCAGAATTTATAAAAAGAAAAAAATATTGCTGGGCATCTAGATACTGCTCACATTTAGCTACTTGGGAGGATAAGAATAGAAAGACTACTGTTTTGAGGCCAACTCAGCATACAACTGTTTTGGAGGGTTGAACTGAGGTTAAAGGCCATCCTGAGCAAAGAAGAATCTATGTCAATGGAGGGTGACCAGATATGATGATGCACTCCTGCCATCCTAGCAATGACAGGAAGCCTAACATAAGCAGTCTGCCATCCAGGTGTATATATAATAACAGTAAGTAAGACCTTATCTCAAAAATATAAACTGAAGGGCTGGGAAGGTGGTTCAGTGGTAGAGTGCTTGCCTTGCATGCCTGAGGCCCTGGGTTCGATTCCTCAGCCCCACATAAGCAAAAAGAAAAAAGCCGAGAGTAGCACTGTGGCTCAAGTGGTAGAACGCTAGCCTTGAGCTGAAGAGCTGAGGGACAGTGCCCAGGCCCAGAGTTCAGGCCCCACTACCGGACCCAAAAAAAAAAAAAAAATATATATATATATATAAACTGAAGCTAGAAATGTGTGTTAGTGGTAGAGTGCTTGGCTAGCAAATGAAGCCTTGGGTTCAATTCCTCATAAACAGAAAAACCAGAAGTGGTGCTGTGACTCAAGTGGTAGAGTGCTAGCCTTGATCAAAAGAAGCTCAGGTTTAGGGCCCAGGCCTTGAATTCAAGCCCCAGGACTGGTGCAAAAAACAAACAAACAAAAAATATAAACTGAACAACAGGCCAGAAGACCTGGTTCAGCACAAGAGTGTCTGCCTAACAAGTATGAGGCTCTGAATTCAAACTATAGTACCACATAAAGAAGCAAAGTACAATTTTAAAATAATGGGAAGGCAAGAGAAAAATGAGGGAAAGGGTAACAAGTTTGACAAAAAATGTACTTATTACCCTACTTATGTAACTGTAATCCCTCTGTACATCACCTTGACAATAAAAAAGGGCAACTGCAAGGTATTTCCATGACTACAAGTTAAGCCTAAAGATGGCTATGCTATATATACAATCCACATTGCAAGTTGCCAATTGAAAACTGGTATGTTTTGTTTTTTAAAGACAGAGGTTTGCAATGCAGTCCAGTCTGGGCTTCAGTTCTTGCTTCTTCAGTTCAGTCAGAGCATACCCTGCTGAGATTACAGAATGTATCACCATATTCAGCACATAAATGGAACTCTTAAGCACTTGGAAAATTTGTGCTAAAACTGCCTAGCAGCTTTAAAATTAGTAATAAAATCAAGTTATAATACTACAAGAGCATTGGTGCTTTTTTTTTTTTCTATTCTTAGTCTTATAGTACCTTAGTATATTTCTATCAAAGCACTTAAATGAACGAACTACTTATTAGCTGACCTGGACTAATTTAAGCTGCAGTAAGAGTTAGATCAGAATTTCATTTTATCTTGCACCTGAAATTGATTTTCTTCGAGCCAAATCTTTCAATCATTATGAAAATATTCAAGAAACCAAAATTCTTAAATATAGTAATAGAAATTTAAATTATATTAATAACTAGTAATTCATAGTTATTTTCAATCCCTAAAGTTATTTTACAACCATTCATTCATATCCACTAGGCTTAATTACACTGCTGAAGAAAATGAGAATTATTCAAATCCAAACCAGGAAAACCAATACTATAAGAATCTTTGAGCCGGGTGCCAGTGGTTCATGCCTATAATTCTAGCTATTCAGGAGGCTGAGATCTGAGAATCATGGTTCAAAGCCAGCCCGGGAGAAAGTCCATGAGACTCTTATCTCTAATAAACTACTCAGGGGAGAAAGTCCATGAGACTCTTATCTCTAATAAACTACTCAGAAAAAGCCAGAAGTTAGTCGGGTGCCTCATGCCTGTAATCCTAGCTACTCAGGAAGCTAAGATCTGAGGATCGAGGTTCAAAGCCAGCCTGGGCAGGAAAGTCCGTGAGACTCTTATCTCCAATAACCCACTAGAAAACCGGAAGTGGCGTTATGGCTCAAGCTGTAGAGCACTCGCCTTGAGCTGAAGAGTGCAGGGACAGCAAAAAAAAAAAGAAAGAAAGAAAAAAGAAAAAGCCAAAAGTGGTACAGTGTCTCAAGTGGTAGAGCACTTGCCTTGAGTAGAAAGAGGCTCAGGGACAGAGCCCGAGCCCTGAGTTCAAGCCCAGGACCAGCAAAACAAAAAGAAAAAAAAAACAAAAACAACAATAACAAAAAACAAGAAGAATCTTTGTATTTCTTCTGTACTAAAGATGAACAGTCAGGTGCTAGTGGCTCACACTGTAATCCTAACACCTTTGGAGGTTAAACCTGAGGAGTGAGGTTCAAAGACACCCCAGGCAGAAAAGTCCATTAACTCTAATTTAAATTACCCCAAAAAAAGTCAGAGATGTAAGTGTGATTCAAATAGTAGAATATCACTCTTGAGGAAAAAGCTAGGCAAGACCATGAGGCTCTGTGTTCAAGCTCTAGTACCAGCACACACACACAAAGTAACAAAAATACAAAAAAGAAATTTGCCCAAAACACATCTCTCAAGTATTAACTGAATGAAAAAGAGTAACAATATATACAATGTAGGCTCTATAACACTTAGTAACTCAAGGAAGAGGATACTTGCTATTTCAACTATAATACTAATGAATGACAGTATTTCCCCAATTTCCAAATCCTTATTGAAACTGTAAGTTCCTCACCAAATAGACAAACCAGTGAGTGTAGACCTCAATTGATAATTTAAAGGGCAAGGCACAAAGAGGAGCAAAAATGAGCTTGATTATTTAGTTCAGACATGGGTATACTATTTTTAGACAAAACAATGCTTATTTATCAAAAAAAAGTTCATTAAGTAAAAATAAAGCTAAAACTGACAGCTCATATTTTTTACATCATTTAAAATCTGTAGTTCGTTCAATCACTAGTTTCAAAGTTAACCTGCATTCATTTTAAATATACCCAAGCATAACAATCTTTGACCTCATTCCTTACCTTTGACTGTCAAACTGTTTTTCATTTTAATTTATATCATGCAAAATAATCCTAAGAACAAGCTTATTATTAAAATGATATCTGCACATTCTCAATATTTTGTTTTAACTCAAACCATGTAAAAACCACAATAGCTGGGACTAAATAAACAGTAATGTCACAAATACAGTGAGCTGTTTTTTGTGTACCTTTAACTGACTTAAGTTTTTTTGTTTGTGTTTTTGTTTTGGTGTTGGTAGTGGTTCTTGAACTTTGGGCCTGGGCACTGTCCCTGAGCTCTTCAGCTCAAGGCAAGCGCTCTACCACTTGAGCCACAGCACCACTTCTGGTTTTCTGGTGGTTAACTGGAGATAAGAGTCTCAGAGCTTCCTGCCCGGGCTGGCTTTGAACCGTAATCCTCAGATCTCAGCCTCCCAAGAAGCTAGGATTACAGATGTGAGCCACCAGTGCCTGGCTTGACTTAAATTTTAAGAGGAAAAAAAATTTCTTGTGTGAAACAGTTAACTAGTATTAGATTGAAAATACTGAAAACTTTAAAAATTACTGATTCAAATCAAATGACCTAATAATAGCTTAATATAGTAATGAAGTCATTCTAAATTCTAGAATTAGGTAAGTTTTAAATTTTAGTTTTCAACTTTTAGCTATTTATTAGACTCATGAGAAGACCACAAAACTTCTTTCAAATATCAGATGGTTATATTAAGAGTAAATACTCAAGACTATGCTAATGACAAATATAAATCTCCTTCAAATTTTAGCCTATCAACTCCCAAACATGAGACAAACTGTTGGTGAAACAAATTTTCAAATCAATTCTCTTGTGTTGGTACTTCTATCCTACCTGTATCTTCAATAAATTCCACACATTTTTCAACAAATAGTGGTATGGGCTTCTCAGCTGTAACCAGATCCTGGAGGGGCATCCCAAAGTAATTACTTTCCCAATTTCTACGTGTTGGTGGATTGAAGTTCTTAATTTTCTTTTTCTGCTATAAGAAAACATATTCAAGTTAAAACTATTAGTATTAATTTCCTTCAGATTATCAAGCAATGTAAATACACACTTTTGGATCAAAAGAAATATTTAAAAGACACATCCAATCAATGCCCATCAATAAAGGCTTGATCAAATTCTGAGCAATGGACACACAAAAGCCAACAAGGGTGGGAGGGTGAACAGCTGACTAGAAGGAAAAGCTCTTTTGCAACTAGTAAGACTAGATAGGTAGAGACTAGAAAGATTATGTAGGGGGACAGTAGAAAGCATCATTTTTTTCAATGCCAACTCAAAGGACAAATTAGGAGTAAGCAATGTCCAGTTCAGTTTGTGTGGTCTGTTAATCTGGCCTTTGAAGTACATACAATGAGCTTTTGTGTAAATCTACATTTGTAAGAACAAATAAATTATGATTGATTATATAGTGAAGCTAAATAACTCTATTTAGTACCCCCAGTTTATCTTTTCTTCTAATTTTTTCCTACCTACTATTTCTTAAATGCCAACATAATTTTTGCAAGAATGCATAAAACATTTTCACAATAGTAAAAAACAAAATTAAGAATTTTCAGAATTTAAGTTAGTATTAAAGAGAAAATGGATTCTTAATTTGAATTGTCTGAATACAAATTGCTAAGTCTGTGTTAATCTTTTTTGAAGTAAAGTGTAGCAGACATCAGTATAGATATTCCATTGTATACAATCAGTTTAAGAAATCTCTGAAGCTGGGTGCTGGTGGCTCATGCCTGTAATCCTAGCTACTCAGGAGACTGAGATCTGAGGATCATGGTTCAAAGCCAGCCTGGGCAGCAAAGTCCGTGAGATTCTGATCTCCAATAAACCACTAGAAAACTGGAAGTGGTGCTGTGGCTAAAGAGGTAGAGCGCTAACCTTGAGCTGAAGAGCGCAGGGACAGTACCCAGGCCCAGAGTTCAAGCCCCAAGACCACCACCAACAACAAAAGTCTCTGAAGTATAGGGAAATGAGAAAGTTGTCAGAGTTTTTTTTTTTGGGGGGGGGCAGATCTGGGGCTTAAACTCAGAGCTTGGGCACCGTCCCTGAGCCTGTCTGTGCTCAAGGCTAGTGCTCTACCACTTGAGCCACAGTGCCACTTCTGGCTTTTCTGTTTATGTGATACTGAGGAATCAAACCCAAGGCTTCATGCCTGCTAGGCAAGCACTCTACTGCAAAGCCACATTCCCAGTCCAGCTGTCAGAAAATTTAGGAGGATGTGAGAGCATTTTTATTGATACCTCTGGTTCCTTTTTCAGTTTAGTTTTTCTGGAAACTTTTATTGTCTCTGGTATAAAGCAGAAATCTATTCATACTGGTCCTAAGTATCATTACTTACAAAAAAACCCACTATTTCTAGTCACAGAAGTAGAGAGGAAAGAAGAGAGGGCAAACAAGCACACCATCCAAGGTTTAAAAAAGTTCTCATCTTAAGTTTCCCATTTTTTTCCTTTGGATAGCTCATTTAATATTCTTTTTTAGGTATCTTCAATACTTAAGTGCTTTCATGTTCATGAGCAGTTACCTTGAACCAAAGCCCTTTCCATTTCAGATTGTTCCTCCCAGCACAGAGCTCATGAAATCTTAACTTCTAAACCCTCATATACAACATTATCTGGTTTAGCTTATTTACACAGACTAAACACAGTATATGTAGGTGCTTTGAATATTATCAGAGTGTTGGCTCAAAATCTAACCCACCTAGTCAAATGCTCTGGATCCTTATTCTTTATAAATGATCATCACATCACCAAAATAGAACCATGTGTAAGAAAAGTAGAAAGGAAGCGTCTATAACTTCAAAGCAGAGGTTAAAATGGCTGACACTTTTTCTTTTCCCTTGGAAGCCTGCTTCACAATTTGCAAACTACAAGCTGCATCATTTTTTATTGGAAAAGTGAAATCTAAGGCAAAAATGACTCAAGCACCCCGAAGTTATAAGAAAAGCTAACTAGTTACTTAGTTGTAACTGTGTCAACCAAATCTTAGAAACCTGTCTTTTCAGTACTGCTTCTGGGAATCAATCAAAACTCTGGAATTAATGGCACTATTCTATCCTTACCCTTTGGGATAAAGAAGAAAAAAGTGATATCTAACCCTTACCTAGGAAACCACGAATACTGGCTATCTGTGCTTGCTTACCAGCTTGCTTGCTGGGCTAGTGTTTACCACTTGAGACATGACTAACCCTGTAACCCACAGTTCTCAACTCACTTCAGGTAGTTCTTTCAAACATAGGACTATGAGTCAGGAATGAGTTATTCTGTGATCCATCCCTCAGCCAACAGTTGCCAACTACTACAAGTTATAAACTTATATCAACTCAAAATGATGTAATTTATAACCTCTTTTATAAATTGAGATTAGTTGGTTACTAAGTTTCTCTGAAACGCAAAAGAAAAATGAGTAGTACGATGTATTGCTTACACGGATGATTTCTGACAAACCATTAGTCAGAATTGTCTATAATCAAATACTTATATTTTGAAAACAAGATCTCACTTATCAACAATAATCCACTTTTTATTTACTACTTTCATGAGTTCATCTTAATTTCTGCTTAAATATAAATATCCAGTCTTTTTTCTAGAAACTTAAGCAAATCTCATGTCTTCAAAAGCATACTCAAAGTAAAATAAACATCTCGTTTGCAAACAATATAAACAATATTATCAATTAAGTGTCCAGCAGATATAATTCTCAGTAAATGTAAACAGGATCAGGAAGAGGAATATAAATAGCTCATTCCAGAATATGAAAATGCTCCTGTTACTTCAGTAATATCATAAATATCCTCAAATAATATTGTAATTGGTAACATTATAAAGCATAGCTATATGTAGTAGCTCTCACCTCCAGTTTCTCTGGAGGCAGAAATGGGGAGGAGAGCAGCATTAACAAGCCCTAAGAAAAAGTTGGTAAGATCCTATCTCAAAAAAAAATCTAAATCTATGTGAGATTTTAGGGAAAGTAGGCTTCTGCATGGCAAAGAACATGGCTAGCAAGATCAATTTAAGAAAGCCCACGAATTGGGAGATCTCCACTGGTCATACAACAGACAAGGGCCTCATATCTAAAATATACCTAGAACTCAAAAAATTAAATCCCCAAAAAACAAGTCCTCAAAGAAACAACTGCCCCATTAATAAGTGGGGTAAAGAGAGACTTCTCTGAAGACGAATTAAGAATGGCCAATAGACACATGAAGAAATGCTCAACCTCTCTAGCCATAAAAGAAATGCAAACCAAAACAACAGTGAGATTTCACCTCACCCCAGTTAGAATGGCTATGATCAAGAAACCTAACCACAGGTGCTGGAGGGGATGTGGCCAAAAGGGAACCCTACTGCATTGCTGGTGGGAGTAAACTTGTTCAACCACTCTGGAAAGCAGTATGGAAGTTCCTCAAAAGACTCCACATAGAGCTCCCCTATGACCCAGCAATTCCACTTCTGGGCATTTACTCAAATGATCACAAACAAGGCCATACTAAAGCTACCAGCACAACAATGTTTATTGCAGCATTATTCACCATAGCTAAGATATGGAACCAACCCAGAGGCTCTGGGGGGGGGGGGAGAGAGAGAGAGAGAGAGAGAGAGAGAGAGAGAAAGTAATGGAATTCTATGCTTCCATCAGAAAGAATGGCACTGCCCCATTTGTTAGGAAATGGAAAGACTTGGAAAAAATTCTATTAAGTATGCCAGACCCAAAGAAACACAGGTCCCATAGTTTCCCTTATCTTCAATTAATAGTATACATCTAAGATAATCTTATCAGACAAGCAGAAAAGATCAAAAGCTACGTATATATGACCATATAAGATGATGCTAAGTGAGATGAACCCCAAGATAGGGACACAAGAGGTTTTTCTTTGTCACTGTTGTTTTTAATGTACTTTGTGATTTTCTTTGTTTCTTTTGTATGCTCTTCCCTAAGTGAGATGAACCCCAAGATAGAGGTTTTTTCTTTGTCACTGTTGTTTTTAATGTACTTTGTGATTTTCTTTGTTTCTTTTGTATGTTCTTCCCTCATGGTATAACTCCTGTAGTCACTGTATTTCATTCCAGTGCCTTGCATCTTGTATATACATTTTTCTAATTTGGGGAGGGGAAGGGAAATAAAATGCTGAAACAAGGATACAGGTTGACCCACTGCAACAATGAGATGTACAAGACACTATGTTGAAAACGAACTTTACAACTTGGGCAGGGGGAGGAGGAAGGTTTTAAGAAGGTGGGGTGGGAAGGGATAGAGGAGAAAAACAAAGGAGGGGGTAACAATGCTCAATAGGAAAGGTACTCATTGCCTTACTCATGTAACTGGAAGCCCTCTGTACAGTATCTTTACAATTAAAAAAAAAAACAATCTGGTGTGATGGTATGTTTAATTCCAGTACTGATGAGGCACTAGTGGGGGGATCAGTCTGAGGCCAACCTGGGGTAAGAGTGTTGAGATATTATTTGAAAAAAGGTTTGAGGAGTGGTTTAAGCGGTACAGTGCCACTTTAGCAAATGTGAGGCTCTAAGGTAAATCTCTAGTACTTAAAAAAAAAGTTTTGTTTCTGAAGTCCACACACTGGTAACCAAAAAACATGAACAAAACTTAAGCCCAGCAAACCAAACCAGGAAAATTAAAGTAATTTTTGAAATAAAAAAATAAAGAAATGGGACAATAAGAAATGTAAAGAACCTGAAAAAATCTATCTATAAAAATCTCTTTAGAAATAGCAAGTAGAAAATTTACCTATAATTAAAAGAACCTGAAAAAATCTATCTATAAAAATCTCTTTAGAAATAGCAAGTAGAAAATTTACCTATAATTAAATCACTAAGAATAAAATGGATACTGTACTGTTTGTGGTTTTTCCTTTTTGGCACTGTTTTTAAAATTCTGCATCCCTTGTCTTGTATGTAAGCTTAATTGGGGAGCAGAAGGGGAAGCATAGAAACAGTGGGACAAAGGGTGAACTAATTCAGC